GGGTTAGAACCCCCCCCCCCCCCTCCTGAGACTTTTCTCCTGAAAGATTCGGATGCTATTTAAACCTGATCTACTAACTACATATAACGATCAAAGTGCCAGTTTAAGAGCAATAAGAATAATAATGATAATCATAAATATCATTTCAAATATGATATTTATTTAGCAATTACTTTACTTTGAAAAGAGAAGAAAAAACGTTAGTCGAACAGAAAGAAGTTTCTCTGTTTAAAGAGGCTGTACACGTAATTTAACGTGAGCTTCCATTTTAAGAGGGACATCCATGATTCACAACAGTTCCCTTTAAACCTTTCACATAGAATTAGCCAAGGAGATATTGAATAGAAGGAGGGGGCGATAGGGTTTCCGTACACTTTGCTATGACGTTTATGGACTGCTGAAGAACTAGTTTTTGCGTAACAACAATAACTAAGGCAGTCGATCTAATGTAAACAAACATGAGTTAGTATACGGTGAATCTTCATCTAACGCCAGAGATGNGGACTATGAAGTTAAAACGATTTACAGTATTACTGAGAATAGAGTCCCATTTTTTTTAGGTTTGCCTGAATGAATTTAAAGGGAGTGTTCGCGAAAAATGAAAGGGGGTATAGGCTTAATGCGATAAAAAAATTTTCGAAAAGGGGGGAACCCCCCCCCCAGACCATTACAAAATATTATATTGCCCCCCCCTAGCAAAAGTCCTAGTTGCGCCTCTGTTTAAAATGATGATAAAATGGGTTGAATTAGAGGCAATCAATTGAATTTATAGAACATGCACCAATCTATTCCAAGTGCATCACAGAAGTACATTTCCACAAAATACTGATTTTCAGAATTTAACAGATTTAATTTAGCTACATATACTCCTATATATTTTTGGATAGTCTGTTTGTATGTTGATTGTGTCCAAAAATCCACAAATCTTATTAGAAAAATCTATTTTAAAAATGCATCATAAGTGTTAAAAAAGAAGACGCCGCAAAGACAGCTAAATAAGGTAGAAACTAGATTTTAAAAGATTTAGGGGAAACTATTCGTTCAAGAGGAATTGATTGATTGATTGATTGGCAGTTGGGGAAACTTAAAACAGGGAAAGTAAACAAACTGACAAATATTAGGAAAAATAGATTGGTCAGTTGAAAGACAACCACAGACGAACAGACAAACAGATAAGACAGGAAAAGAATGACAGACACACATGGATGAATACTTGACAGACATATTACCTATTTGAGACTCTTCTTTAACACTAGGTTTCTCATCGCAGTTCAGGATTTCAGGTTTGTACAGGTTAGCCACCTGGTCAACTTGGTTCTCCTAAATAGATCAAATAGATTTAGATGATACTCCGTTCATTCAGATATTAATCAGGTATTAATTAGTTTGTTAGATTGTTTGTTCGTTGAGTTTTTTCTTATGTAAGTTCGTTCCCTCGTTCGTTCATTCACTGGTACGTTTGTTTGTTCGATCGATGGATCTTTCATTCATTCGTTTGTTCGTTCGTTTTTTGTGCGTTCGTTCGATTAATTATTCTTTCGTATTTTGTTCATTTTTTTTGTTCATTCATTTATTGGTTTGTTCATGCATTCGTTCATGCATTCGTTCGTTCGATCGTTCGTTCGTTCGTTTGTTCGTTCGTTTGATCGTTCGTTCGTCCATTCACTTTTTTTTCTTTGTTCCTTGGTTCGTTAGTTTTATGTTTATTCTTAGAGATAAATTCATAAAACTTAAAAAATAACATATTATTAGTAAGGTTTAAAAAATGTATTTTCAGAGCTGAATACGGAGGACACAATAATTAAACCCAACCAGAAATTTTTCTATAATTTGTGAGAAAATCAAATTTTGCAAAAAAAATTGCAATGGTGAAATCTCATCTAAAGTAGTGCTAAACGCACGCAACAAAATTAGGTGCACGCAAGCTTCTGATTCCAAGAATTCTGAAATTAAAGGACACTGATTAAATCTTTTACGTTGGTACACGCTAGAAATCGTAACAAATAACCCAGGGTCGAGGGGCGCATGAAGAATGCAAAGGGGGTGTCTGAGTTTTCAGATTTTAGGTTGTTCGAATACCAATTTATCATCAAGTAAGTTTGGTTTGGGATGGCAGCCTGAACAAAGCAACCCCAATCGTTTAAATCGTTGAAACATAAAACTTATTAAGGTTGCAATAAAATTGCTTGCAGACACTGCTCCTTGAATGTAAACGAAACCTAAAATATGTTGAATTCTTATATCCGGTCAACACTTTTGTGCGAAACGGAATGTACAGCTATTGAATCTTGAAATCCACTGTTTGCGAGATAAATACTTGATCACGAATTCAATTAATTGGTAGGCCTGCAGAAGAAGGAGAACAATGCTTGATCACGAATTCAATTAATTGGTAGGCCTGCAGAAGAAGGAGAACAATGCTTGATCACGAATTCAATTAATTAGTAGGCCTGCAGAAGAAGGAGATCAATGCTTGATCACGAATTCAATTAATTAGTAGGCCTGCAGAAGAAGGAGATCAATGCTTGATCTCGAATTCAATTAATTGGTAGGCCTGCAGAAGAAGGAGATCAATGCTTGATCACGAATTCAATTAATTAGTAGGCCTGCAGAAGAATGAGATCAATGCTTTATCTCAAGATTCATAACACAATAGTTCTTAACCCAATTGTACATAGTTCAATATACAATAACCTCAGTGTACAGCAATGTTAAATGTTAGCACAGTGTACACTGTACAACAATATTTACATGCGTAAACACAGTGTACAGCAATATTTGCCTGTAGATACAGGGTTCAGTAAACACAGGGTACAACAATATCTTGTAAAAACTGTGTACTGCAATTGTTTACGTTATTTAACACAGTGTACTGCATTATTTACCTGTGTTAACAATAACAAAGTTTCAGAATCTGATAAAGCTTCAGGATTAGGTCGCGGCATCCGTCGCCATCTAAAAATAGTTGAAAATAATCCTTTTAAAATAACTGTAAGCGTGATTTTAAGTGCACTGTCCCTTACTCCAAATATGACAATGTCCGATTCACAACGGTACCCTTAAAAGCTTTGACTGATAAAGTATGAATTTAATATCAATGTTTATAATTTTGTTTGAAATATCATTATTTTCTATTGGGGTTTCTCTACAAACGTTAATTGCGCATTTATATTGCTGAAAAATGTGTAGGAATTATCAGAATCAAACACCTAAAAAAAACCATCAACATTATTGATCGTACAGATAAATGTTTTAATAGTATCGTTGTGAATTCGCTCATTACCATTTAAACTGGAGTCGCTTGAAATTACACTTAAAAGGAATTGTTGGTAAAATGAAAGGGGGTGCACGTAATGTCTGAATCAGAACTAAATTGAAAATCGATCGCGACCAATTCTTTTTCTGTCGCTGACAGCAGAGAAGTCAAGCGAAATCTCGGAGTTGGTATATCGTTAACAAAACAATTCAGACAATACTCCTTTTCATATTTCTAGAACACTCTCTTTCAGATTTAAAATAGTTTTAAAATAATTAATAATCATCAATAAGTCAAATAATTTGTATGTTGCTAAATGTCATTAGTCATTAGTTTGTAAGTCATTAGAGACACACAAATATATGTAAATGTCATTGCTCATTTGTCACTTTATTAGTCTTTAGTCATTATTCTATTGGAAACTAGTCTATTAGTCATTTGCTAACAGAGAAATGGTCATCAGTCTCTAGTCTATTTGTCAATAGTGACTAGTTTTTTGATGATTAGTCACTAGCCGACAGATATTAGTCACAGGTTGATCCAGTGATTTTGTTAAGAAGTCTTTTTTCAGTCGGTCTCTGACCAATCCCATCATTTTCAACTTTTCTACAAAATGGTCTGATAAGTCAGTCAACTTGTCAATTTATCTGTCCCCCTTTGTCTTTTCATCTGTCTATCTATCCGTCTACTTGTCAATTTATCTGTCACCCTTTGTCTTTTCATCTGTCTATCTATCCGTCTACTTGTCAATTTGTTGACATGTCTATCTAGCTGTCTACTTGTCTATCTATCTAGCCATCTGCTAACAGTCAATAAATGTGTCTACTTGTCTAATGTCTATCTGTCTATATATCTGTCTACTTGTCTATCTGTTAACTTGTTTAATGTCTATCTGTCTATCTGTTAACTTGTTTAATGTCTAACTGTCTATATATCTGTCTACTTGTCTATCTGTTAACTTGTTTAATGTCTAACTGTCTATATATCTGTCTACTTGTCTATCTGTTAACTTGTCTAATGTCTATCTGTCTATATATCTGTCTTCTTGTCTATCTGTTTAGTTGTCTAATGTCTATCTGTCTATATATCTGTCAATCTGTCTATCTATCGTCTATTTACCTTGAATGCCTGGAAGACTGAAATGAACTATCAGGGTTTAGACTTTTGTCCAAGTATTTACTACTACTCGACCGTCTGTAATTCATTCATTCATTCATTCATTCATTCATTCATCCTTTTATTCACCATCCTAACTTGAATTTTGGACATTTTCGACTATGAAGTAGAAATCCATAAAAGAAAGAGACATCGATGGGAATCGTATGTGGTAATGGAATGAAGTAAAAAAGTTCCTATATTTCAAGAGTTTAGCTTTAGTAATTTTCATCAATAGGTAAATTGAAGAGTGTGCTGGTAGACTGTAATATAATTTATTCATGTTTATTTGACCAAATCTTTTAATAAAATAAAGTAAATGAGGAATTTCTTACTTACCNGAACATTATCAAGTATTGTAAAATATTTTAATTCATTTAAATATTAATTTTAAACTATTTACATTTTCTAGGTTGTCATAACGTACCCTTTAGGGTTATTTTGTATTGATACTTATAAAAAGGAGCATTTTTTTTTAAATCTTATAGATTTATTAATGCTTTAAGGTTAACATAATTACTTTTGGAGGAAATATTCAAATTGAAAAATTTCCCTGAAAACTAGTTAAAATGCAGTTAAAAGTATTTTTAGTCTGGTTAAATTAGAAAACCATTATGCTTTATCAATCCAAAAATTACAAAAGAACTGATTAATATTTTATTGCAGTTTAGTCGATACATAAACGTTGTGCACAGATATCAATCAGTTTTTTGCAAGAATTATTATTTTATTCTTATCTTTAAATAATTTGAAAACTTAAATGCAACGTTTTTAATGGTGAGACAGATATTTCAGTTTAAACCCACTTGAGTGCTAGACGTAAGTGTGTTTGATTCTAATAAAATCTTAATGTTTAACTATACTAGAAATCCTCAAATAACTAGTGTAGAGGAACCATAATTGAAAATAATTATTTTCAACACAATAAACATTGTAATCTAAGTCATACTTGGTTTAAAAAAAAGAATAAAATCGGACACAGTCAACCTCATATGGAGGGTACTTAAAATTACGCTTACAGTCCCTTTAAAAAACAATGTAAATGTTTCTTGGTTGTTCTCAGCAAAACTACTTGCATCAAAATCTAATTTTCTAATTTCTTTATCTTTGCAATCTGACGTTGTAAACCTGTCATGTTTCAAGCTTTTGACTTCTTCAATTAGATTGAAATATAAAAGCCAAAGGGTTGCAGATGTGTTTTATTAAATTAATAATTAAATGATCATTTAATTGATAAAAATGCGATTGACTAATTGATCGATTGATTGATTGAATGAACCTGGCAAAAGACGATGTGGAAAGAACTAGAAATGATAGAATTAGAACTGAACTCCGAACTAGGACGAGTCCTTTCGATAAAGTCCTTTCTCGTCCCATTGTCCTGTCGTCCTTTGGACCGTTCTTGCGTCCTTGACGAAAACGTCACGTCCTTTAAATGGACGAATCACTGCGGACGAAATCACTATTGCATCGGACGATTCATCACTTTTAACTATGGACTATTCAACCGGGTTCTTTTCATCTTGATTATCTGAATTTTGAACCGACTATAAATATCTTTAAAGAAAAAATACAAATCTCTCCGAAAAAATTTTTCAGCATTATTTCATTTATAATTTAATTTTATTAATTCAATTTTATTTGATTTAATTCAATTTAATTAAAATATTTCATAAAAAATGAAAAAATAATTTTGCAATTGATATTTAGCCGGGTGCCTAAAGCTTGCTATCAAACCTGAAAAAAATGTAATTAACCAAATTTAATGAATAGTTTGGTTTAATTGCTATTCATTACAAAATGGTCACATTTAAACAAATTTATCCAAAATTAACAAAGATAAATTAAATTTCAATTAATGAAATTTATTTGAAACAGAAAAAATCCACAATTTTCAGATAAGAAATCAGAAAATCCTAAAAATTCCAGCCGACGCTTGTTATCATTAACAGAATTCTGGCAATAATGAAACATTTGACTCATATGTCTTGTGAAATAGGTTCCATGAAATATATAGACTCGTATTACAAGGGCAGTCGAGTACTGTCAATTGTTCGAACTCCGAAATTTCATTAAAATTATGGAAACCATTAAAAGTCATCCGAAATATTTACAGTTGAAAAGAAGAATATAGGATTTGATATCGGAAAAAATAAAACTTTATTGTATTTAACAGGGTGTGACTCAGTAGCCCATTGTGTTGTAGTATACAGTATAATATACAGGTATATAGAGCGCTCAACGTTTTATACCTGCCTCCTATAGGAGCTGACACAGAACAATTCACAGATATACTTCAACTCAGTTTGATGGATTTTTTAATTGGTGAATTCACTTCGCGGGGTTTTTCGAATGATCACGTAGATTTCTTCATTTTCACAACAACTTCATCGAGTTGATTTTATATTATTCTAATTCACACATTCAGAATCCGTTCACCTGGGAGACAGGTAGCCAACTAAACACTGTATTTAGATTTTGGAAATTGTGTCCGACCCGACTCGTTTCAGCCGGTTCCGGACCGGTCCGGGAATATACTCCAGCCGGTGACTCCGAGACGGTACAAGCTAACTATACTTTGTTCAGGACCTGTTGGTAGATGACCCCGGCCCGACTCGACTCATCGACGGACAGGCAGAAAAGTGCGCGGGCACCTAAATAGCACGTCGGACTGGGTGGGGGGGAGAGATTATGAGAATTGCCCTCAAGTTAGAGGAATGCCGGCCCGAAACCGGTTTTTTACTTCAAGTTCGCTGTAGAGAAAAGTACTATCTTAGAAAGGGTTGGGGGACACCGCCTTGTTGGAGTAGTTGGAGGAGCTGGGAAAAGGAAAGATATGATACTTTTGATTTTCCGGCGCGTAAGCAGGCTTAAACAACCCCAAATCTGTTTATAACAAAATAAGTTTTAATTTTATTGTCATATCTTTGATTTAAGTTTTCGAAATACATTCTATTCGAGGTTTAGTGATTTAAAAATACTTGCTTTCAGGACGCAATTCTCAGCCCAGCTTTTTTACATATTGTAAAAACTTTTAGCCTTTACCTGTTTTTCTGTTTTTAAGTTGCAGTGCAAATTTCAAAATTTTAAAAATAAAAAGGTGTACACCTTTTTTCCAAGTAAAATTTTTAATCGCGACCAGCGCCACATTGCAATTAAAGAGTTGGCCT